GGATACCAGCGGCCATTTGTATCTAAGATATATTGAATACAACCAACCAACTATGTCAAGGTTTAGACATGTAATACTCTTTGGTATGAGGGTATGATGCAACACCCTGTAATTACATATTTTTAAATATACGGCTTTATGTATTACATTTTTATTCTGGTTTCTGAAGGAGTGTTATTTCATCGTCTATTCTGTCTTTGGTTTCAAAGTATGTAAACACAAATACAATAATAGAACTAAGAATTACCAAAGCAGCACCTATTATTTCCAAGATAACCACTTGTTTATGAAATACAATGATATCAGCTACAAAGCTTACAAAAATAGCAATGTTGATAAGTATAGTGGTTTTACAAGCACTCTGTAACTGTAGAGATCTGTTGTAGGAGTACAAGAAAACAAGGTACAATGATACCATCCCTACTAGATATGCAGTTGTGATAGGATATGTAGGTATCAATGCAAACATCCGATCACTACTTGTAGAGTACACTAATATTAACATAATTATAGCACCACATAACCCATTGTAGAATACAACAACTATTAGCGATAGACCATCAGACATTGCTCTAGAACAAACTGTACCAACAGAAAGCCATATTCCTGCTAAAAGGGCGTACACATATCCGAGTGCAGATGAATGTGTGTTATTACCAAATATGAATTGAGGTCGTGATACTAATATAATTCCAGCGACATTTATGATAATACCAATGCAGTCGTGGAGTTTACACTTCTCTTTTATGAACATACAGGCAAACACAGGTGAAAATATTGGTAATGTCCCTGCTGTTATTGCGGCTGCATCTCCCATTCCGATCCCATTCATGGCATAGTAAAAAACGAGATCCGCTCCATTCTCACTAATACTTTTCACAATATTCAAAATAGTATCTTTCCGTTGTATTTTAAGAATATTGATTTTCTTGTAGACGAGCAACGGGATAGTTATTGCCATCATCACCAATGATTTGACAAGTAAAACCTGTGATGGTGAATATCCAATCTTTATACACAACAGAACAAATACATCAGAAATAGCAAGACTTGCACCTGATAGTAATCCCATTGTAATTCCTACCAATGCAGTCCAGTAGTTCTGTTTCCGGTGTAGTGGTGTGCTTTCTTCATTTTGAATGACATCGTTTTTGTCAGTGTTAGCTTGTAGTTTCAAAAACAAGTCAAACATTTTGTTTTCGAGTTTGAGGTTTGTAATACACTGAATGATGGTGCATGGCATCTGTTCCCAGGAGCGGAGTTACTTCATAGAACGTTCTATAGTGATAAGACGAGCTCCAGTGTACTATACATTTATATGGCTGTGAAACGCCAGCCAAACAGTCGACAAAAACAACTAAAATCGAAAAAACAGCACAAGCTCAACCATTAGACAATCCCGAGTAACCAAATGTATATATGTTGCACACGTAGAAGTAATCTTGTTACACTGTTAAGGAGAGTCTCATCAATTAGCCCAAAGCACCATTTTTGAGAGTATTCAATTGCTGTTTTTACCGGTTGTGGATATGAGGTAGTGAAAATATCCAGATGTTCACTCCCGAGAATAGATAAATGAATTATAACTCTTACTACCATCACATATACAAGAACATTTTATAATATATAAAAATAACATTCCATTATTCAATGTGATCTATGGAAGTGTTGAAATAAACAAAAGGAATTGTCAAAATTATTAAATATTGCAGTACACTGAGTAAGTTTTTAAAAATAAAATTATGTTTACGTCATAAAATTACAAATATGAATACGACAAGAGTATATTCTCCTTGTATATGTGCAAACTGCGATTGATATTTAGAAAAAGAACTATATATAATAGTATAATAGTATAATTAGGTCCACACTACAAAGTGTATTACTATCTTGACATGGTATATATTCAATATATCTCAGTTACAAATGACCAACGAGATCTAATTAAAAGTGGAAAGCCACGAGATTCGTTTTTACCCCTCATATAATTATATTCGTGATATTTTAAACAGTAAATGCAATGATGGTGTAGAATAGGACTCTTTTTGTTGTTTAAATCTGGTCACTTGTCTCTACCACACTCAACGATATATCGGCGGCCCTTTGTAACTAAGATATATTGAAAACAACTACCGAACTATGTCAGTGTACAGACGTATGATACGTTTTGATATGCGAATATGACTAAAACCTGTGATTATATAATTTTAAATATGCAGCTACATTTTTTTTATTTTCGTTCGAGTTTTGAAGAAGTGTTATTTTCTCACCTATGCTTCTTTGGTTTCAAAGTACAAATACAATAATAGAACTAAGAATTACAAGTGCACTACATATTATTTCCAAATTAACCACTTGTTTATAAAACACAATAATATCAGCTACAAAGCTGACATAAATAGCAATGTTGATTAGTAAGTGTACGGATCTGTTGTAGGAGTGCCAGTAAACAAGAAACAATGATGACATCCCAACTAGATATGCAGTTGTGATAGGATATTTAATCATGAAAGCATATATTCGATCACTACTTGTAGGGGAAACTAATATCAAGTAATATCATATGCTAATTTGTTATTTCTAATTGGCCTTCATTAAACATAATTTCAACGTCTCGTCTATGCGAAAACTAGTATATACATAACAATGCCAATGTAGACAAAGTCCATATAGCAGAGATGATGTATGGAATATAATTTCACCAACACCAATATAGTCACAGTGTTCACACTAACACCGAAGGAATATACCGGCAAACAAAGCTATTTGTAATGTTCCAGCTGATATTGTTACGGAGTCACATCACATCACATTCCATTCACGGCATTCATATTCCCACAACTACTCAGGATAATGAATATGATACAGTTGATGCACAATAGTCAGTCACAGTCAAAATAATTCCGGATAGGAATTTTGTACAGTAATGGTGCTTCCAGGCTTTTGGTAACTCGGAGGCAGTTCTAGAACCACCAGCTGTTAGTGTAAAGAATTAAAGACATTGAATATTCAGAATTTAACTAACTGTAAAATGTTTGACAAAAGTACAACGTCATTGTTCTCTATTTCGATACATTTATATTTATATTTATCGATTGTTTAGGTTCAGATGACACAGGAATCCGTGAAGCTTTGGCAGGGGATGCTTCTGTCGAATTTCTTAAAATGTGCACAAAAACAAACAAACAAACAAATGAATAATTTATGAAAAGTAACTGGTAACACATTCTAAATAATTCATTTAGCAGTGAGGTTTTCTAATATGATGTTTATACATCAAGACTAGATTTGGGATTAATTATATGCAGAAATTTACTGATACCAGGTGGACAATAAGTGACTCAGTTTGTTCCAGTTTGATCCAGACATCCCAGGTAAACAATAAATGCCTTCCATTTAAAATTGACTCCGATCACCCAGTATCAAAATTAGTCCGAAAAAAAGCAATAGAAGTAAATGCACTTAAAATTGTACTCATGTTGAAAATCCTATGTCCGTTTCTATGCTCTCACAGCTTCACTTCCGTGGACCATCTTTTCACATATTAGCTGTACTGTTCGTCGATTTTCGGCGGGTTGCGGGTGTGGCTCTTAGAAAATGGTTTGATTAAAAAACATCCATTCCGGCATTTTTGCAAAGCCGAACAACAGTACCATTCAAATTGTTGTGACCCACGGCGTGACAACTGTACCAACACATCTCAGTGGGCTTTGAGAATAGATAGAGATAGTACGAGTTGTCCGGTCTATTCGGTAGAATAACTTGAATCAAAATAAAATAGGTATTATTAGTGCTCGACAAAAGATGTTTTAAAAAAGTGACAGTTGGACTTTAAACCTTGCCATATATATTTCGTGTACAACTGTAATAATTGAGTGAATAAAACAATGAACACTCACCATAGTGCATTGTAGCGATCGTTCGAACAATACATCTGTTAGGCATGACTATGTTTTCATAAGCTCTTGTGACCCTGGTTTGTTTTGCTGAGATTCTATGTGTTCTCGAGGTATGTTTTGCCAGGAGAGTCAACATTTTAATTAGGGGAGATGATGAAGGGAATTTCGAAAGCAGTGTACAGCCACTGTATTAGAGCGACGGCGCGCACAGTCCTAGATTGAGACAAGGATATCATGTACGGGTGCTGTCATGAAAAGGATGATATATATATATATCGTTTTCGTCACAGGACCACATGTTGACGACGTTGTTCAAATACTCATGTAGCAGACTCTAAGAATGTCATATGAAACATGGTGACATTAGCTGACGTAGATCAACCATCTTGTTTTGTCGTTTGAGGTTTGCAATACACCGAGTGGTGATGAATGAGCCAGTAAAAATAGTTAAAGTCGAAAAAACAACACAAACTCAACTATTAGAGAATCCCGATCAACTAAATATATATATGTTGCACACGTAGAAGTAATCTTGTTATGGTGTTTAAAAGAGTATCAACAATTAGCCAAAATTACAATTTTCACCGGATGTTGATGCCAGGTAGTGAAAATATCCAGATATTTACTCCCGAGAATAGATGAATGAATGAATGAATGAATGAATGAATTACAGCCCTTGCTACCATCACATGTACATGCATGTGTTATAATCTATAAATATAACATTCCATTATTCAGTGAAAAATGTCAAAGTGTAGAAATAGATAAATAAATGAAATTAACAAAAATATTAAATATAAATATCACAACACATATTCTGAATAAAGACGTTTTTGATTCACATTATAAATTGTTAATTTGTTATTTCGATCGAGTTTTTATGTCAACGCCATAAACATCAAGTATATATATATATATATATATATACACTTGTTTAACGTATAATTACGTCTACACACTACAAAGTGTATCACTCGCCTATACCTTAACATGGTGGATAATTGACTCCTAGTGGCTAAAGTAAAATCGCATGTCTCTCTCGCACTCAACTAGCGGCCATTTTTGTCCAAGATATATTGAATACAACCACCAAACTATATAAATATATAGGCGTGTATTACACTTTGATATGCGGATATGATGACTGTAACTTATGATTCAAGTGTGCAGATCATTTGTTACATTTTTATTCGGGTTTTTGAAGAAGTGTTATTTCTTCGCCTATTCTGGTTTCAAAGCATGTAAACATAACTGCACTAACAGAACTGAGAATAACAAGAAAAGCCCCAATCATTTCTAAAGTTACTACTTGTTTATGGAATAGAATGACATCAGCTAAAAAGCCAACAACAATGCTGATGTTAAATAAAATTGTTGTTTTACCAGCACTCTGTAACTGTAGGGATCTGTTGTAGGAGTACAAGTAAACAAGAAACAATGCTAACATCCCTCCTAGATATGCAGTTGTGATGGGATATTCAGGTATCAATGTATACATTCGGTCACTACTTGTAGGGTACACTACTATC